TCTGCTTTCCTATTCCACGGCTCAGCTCAGGATCTCTCTTATTTTGGCTCCAGGATATTTGGCTGTGAGACGGTAAGTAGAATTGCACTGTAGTACTAAGAACAGTTTGCTTAGAGGCAAAGGGAAAGAGCTGGTAACAATCCAGGCAGGATTATGTGCAAGTCCAGCTTGGGTGGAATAAAATTGGGGGGGCAGGAGGTGGAGAGCTAATGTTCCTTCTGTAAATACTGTAACAGGGGAGTAAACCAGAAGATGGGGACATTTTTCACAAACAGGATCAGAGGTATCCAAAAGCACCTCCATTTTGCAATTAGAAGGGAAGGTGCAACCCAAAGGATATGGTGTGTTTGTCCCAGGACCTTTTCCTTTCTGAGGAAGACAAGATTGTGCCACTCGTCCATTCTGTCTGTGTACAGATGGTAGCTAGACTGGCCACTGAATTTTCTTACAACACTGAAGATGGGCAGGATCTTTCACATAGTTTTATCCCAACAGCTCACCATTAAATCCCATGTCCTTGTATCTGCTGCCAAGGAAGCCATCTCCATCTGCCTAATGGTAGGACCGTTCCTCATTTGACCTTTCAGAGTGAGGGCAATGTTGATCTACACAGGCTTAGCATCCATTACTCAAGATGGCATCATTTTTATCAAGTAATAGATAGCTAGCTACAAGCTGAACTGTTCTAGGGAGATCTACATTTGTATAGAATCACATGCAAAGATGGAGGATGTGCTCATTGTCATGATGTTAGAGCTGCCGAGCTGGAAAGGACCCTATGGATCATCAAGTCCAGCCCCTGCCAAGGAGACACGGTGGGGAATTGAACTCCCAAATTAATGGCTCTGTAGTCAAACACCTAAACCACTGAGCTATCCAGCAAAAGACAAAGGGTTTATGATTTTGGAGACCCAGGTTAAAGCCCCTACAGAGCTATTAAGTTCCTTGAGTGAATTAGCACCAGCCTGGCTTATCTCGCAGGGCTGTTGTGATTAAAAAAAGTGGGGAGAAGGTGAGATGCCTACACTGCTTTGATTTCACTGGAAAATTAATAAGTAAAGAAAGTATAATCTTACAAGAGCCCGAAAAACCCAGAACAACCATTAGATCCCGTCCGTGAAAGCCTTCGCGAATATACTTACAAGAACCCTTTCTCTCTTTGACAGATATGGGGCCCATTTTTGCCCGGTTCGTCCCCACGCCTGTTTTGTGCCTTTCCTGTTTTATTTTTAATGACCACCACAACTGCAGGCACACTTAGGGACATACTGGGCACACAGGGCTATTGGCACACACGTTGCCAAACCTCACATTAAAGAGACATGACCCAAATGTCCCGACTATGTGCTCCTCTGACTGTCGTTTTTCATCCATCTTTCAGACACAAGTATGGGCTTTTCCATCAGTGCTGTGGTCATCTCACTCCTCTCCTGTTGTCTCTGGGATACCGAGGCTCGCCGCTATGATTCAGTCATCAAAGTGGCAAATGGAGGACAATGGGGTTCTTGGGGGCAAAGAGAATATTGTCTCATAGGTCACGCTATAGGCTTTTCACTGAAGGTAAAAACTATTCTGCATTCTGCTTTTCATCTAATGTTATGCAAACTAATTTCCACAACTGGTTATTTCTTATGTTTCTGCTCTTGTTTTTGCTTCACAGAAGTTCCTTTCCTCTTCACCAGATGTACAGCACCCAGCACTTGGCTGGTGAATCAGAGAACACTTGTGAAACTTGTACCTTTATGTAGCATGCACTTTGCTTGGTTTTATTTATAATAATTGTGCGCCATCAAGACAATTTCAGTTTCTTCCAGGATTTTCTAGTTGTAGAACACTCAGAAGTGGTCTACTGTACCTGTCATCTGGGGTATTCTTGGACTGTATTCTTGGACTGTACAGCTTGTACAGAGGGACGTGTTGCCGCTGCGGGCTAAACCGCAGAAGCCTGTGCTGCAGGGTCAGAAGACCAAGCAGTCATAAGATCGAATCCACATGATGGAGTGAGCGCCCGGCGCTTGTCCCAGCTCCCGCCAACCTAGCAGTTCGAAAGCATGCAAATGCAAGTAGATAAATAGGGACCACCTTGGTGGGAAGGTAACAGCGTTCCGTGTCTAAGTCGCACTGGCCATGTGACCATGGAAGATTGTCTTCGGACAAACGCTGGCTCTATGGCTTGGAAACTGGGATGAGCACTGCCCCCTAGAGTCGAACACGACTCGACAAAAATTGTCAAGGGGAACCTTTACCTTTACCTTTACCTTACAGCTTGCCCAAGGCTGCACAGGCTGGCTCTTCTTACAAGAACCAGGAAGGGTTCTTGTAAGATTATACTTCTTGGGAACTGAGCTCCTGACCTCAGGTTCTGTAGTTGAGCAACAAAACCACAGAGTCATCCAGCCAGCTTGGTTTAATGTTAAATAGTAGGAGAGCCAGTGCAGTATAATGGATATAGTGTTGGTCTACGACTTGGGAGACCTGTGCTAAAATCCCCATTTGGACATGGAAGCTCACTTGGGGGGTAGCAATGGCAAGCCATTCCAGATGTTGTTGAATTCCATTTTCTGCCAGTCTTACTGGGTATGATGAATTATGAGGCATGATGGAAACAAGTCTATCAACATTTGGAGGCTAAAGGTTCTACACCACAGGCGTGAAGCAGAGGTGGGCAACTTTGTCAGGTCTGGTGGGGGGATTTAAAGTCCAGTAGAGAGCAGAAATGCCCCAAGCCCTCAGCCGTTCCCTTCCCCTGTTATTGGTGAGTATGACAATCTCCATTGTAATTTCTTCTTATCATATACAACCGTGGGCAGATTCATAGCTTTAAGAAAATTTTACCAGATGTATTTCTTTCTACACATAGCGAAACCACAAGTCTTTCTCTATGCCAGGTAGAGCCATATCAAGGTGGTAAACCTTCACAAGACGATACAGCCCTAAACGGCCTACGCCTGGTCTGCAATGATAACACATTCATTTCATCTGCTGTCGGAAAGTGAGTAGCTCTTTCTTTTTTATCCGCAATACAGTATTGGTCTAGCTTATGTTTTTCGTCCACATCTCTCCTAAGCTCTCACCAATAGTGAAGTATAATGGCAGTTGTAGTCCAACAAGACCAGTCACACTTGGCCACTCCTAGTGTAGGCTCAGCAATAATGTGGTTGCTAAGCTATTCTTTCTCCTTCGTATTTATGAGTGACAATTTGAATTGGGGTGGGGTGATTCCTAATTGTCATTTTGATGGTGACTGTTATGTTAGTTATGAGGCAAACATAACAGCCTATAGTTTTAGCAACTAGCCGGCTTTCTATTGGTCATCTGGACCCAATGCATCAATGGGATTTACATATGTTTTGACTTCATACTCTAGTTGAGATTACCAACAGGATTCTGGTGGCTATTGCTATTAAGAAATCTAATCTGCACGATTTCTGTATCTTTATAAGGACTGAGCTGGTTACCATTTAACAGACTGGAAATAACTGTTCATTTTTATTCAAATTTTGAATTTCTAGAAAGATAGAATGAATTAAAAGAAGTAAGTTGCATGACAGATTTGCCTTTTAATAGGGGTGTGCATTGTTTTTCAGGTGAATGTGTAAAAATTAAACAAGTCAGCGGGATTTGTAGGTTCCACAGAGTAATATGTCTGCAGATCTTGCCCATTAAATCCAGCACACATGCTTTATGAATAGAAAGGGAATACAGAAAGAAAAACTTAGGAAAATAAAGTTTATTTCTTTACCACAGAAATGAACTTTCCTGCTGCAAAATCATTGAGTAAATCATCAAAGTCTTGTGGCTGCAGCACCATTCATTTCAGATCCAGAAACAGGAAGGATAGAGCAGAAAGAACAGACAAAACAGACGGAATGCAAAAGGAGCATCCTCATTGCCCTTTTGAAGGAGCACGAAAGAGAAGGTCCAGCTGCTGACATGAGCAGAAGCCCTTCTACGGTATGATGCCTGCTCCACTCAGTCTGTGACCTGCAGGGATGTTGGCAAGTCCTGGGGTCCAAATCTGAGTTTTTGGTTCCGAGTCCCCAGTCTGAGTCTGTGTCTTTGGGTCGTTTGCCTTCCCCCCCCCCCCAAGGGCAAATGACTCAAGACTCAGACTTGGGACCTGGGACTCAGGACTCGAGGCTTGGGAGCAGGACCCAAAGATTCGCCCAGTGGCTGGCTTCCCCCTTCCCAGAGCTGGCTCCTGCCTCTGTGCACATACTGGACTATCAGGTGGATGATGGTTGCGTGGGTGGAGGCAGCAACTGACTCCTGGAAGGGAAGCAGGGCTTGCTGCCTCTGACCAAGTCGTGTTTTGAGTCTCTACCTGCTCCAGCCGCAACCACCCCACTGTTGCTACCACTGCAGTTCAAAACGCAACTCAGAAAAATCGTTCCGAGTCACAAACTGAGTCTGAATCTTTTTTAAAAAGATCCGAGTTGCCAATGCAACTTGACAGTGAATCACGACTCATGAGTCCCCATCTCTGGTGACCTGACTTTGCTGTTTGCATTTCCTCATTGACAGGAATGGGTGTCTTCAACATAAGGATACCAAGACAAATATTGGGTGGGAAAGTTTCCAAAAGTACACAGGGTGGGTTAGCTCCTATTAGGCATCCATGCATTCATGAAGTGGTTCAGGGGGCTTCTGTCCATCCTTTGCTTGTAATATAGAAAATATGGTTTATTTAACCATAAAAGCCCTAGCAGATATAATGAAAATATAAAATTTATAGTACCTACTGTATATAACCTTAGGACTGCTTTGTTTCCTATTTAGAGCTTTCTGTTTCTCTTTCTCCATCTGTCTTCCCTCGCCCTGTTTTTCTGGCTCACATACCACACACACACAGTTCTTGTCCCTTTTCTACTGGTGGACATCATAATGGCCATTCTAACTTTGGATGCAGTAGCACTAAATAATATTGTGTTGCCTCCTAACAAATCTCCTGGGGTTTTTAGGCAACAAATTGTTCTTTTACCTGAACTTATTTTCCCATTTATTTTGCCTCCAAAGATCACCTGCACAATAATCCATAAATCTCTTTTTTTTTAATATGTGACTGAATAAGTCTACCTTTCTAGAATATCCTGGTCACATCATGGGAAACAAAATGTCTCCCCACCCCGCTCCATCGCAAGAAATCCTGAAGTCAAATGCTACGTATCTGTTAAAGGCTGCTGGGTTTGAGAGGAAAGAGAATCATTTCCAGAAACAGTATATTTCTGTTGGAATACATCTCTGTTTTCATATGTCTACCGGAAGCTGGCTATTATCAATGGGAAATGGCTAACCTATTGTGCTAATGAACCTTCCAGAACTATGGTCACATTTGGAATTTACCCTTGGAAGTAAAATGAATGGTGCTGTGGAGAAATTATTGGGCTTGATCATCTTCTTGATTAATGCTTTCTGAGGTTCTAGGAAAGACACATAATGGCTGCCATAAATATCTGACAACTTCATTGTCTTTCTTGGCAGGTGGGGTGCTTGGTCTGAGATTAATCACTGTCCCAGACCACACAAGTTGGTGTCCTTTTCTCTTAGAGTGGAGAAAAGCCAAGGGTTTGGTGATGACACTGCAGCCAACAACATCCAGTTCTTGTGCAGCGATGAGACGGTGCTCAGGGGCAACTCACATAATTGGGGTCATTATGGCTTATGGAGTCCTCGTTGCAAAGATGATACCTTTATATGTGGGCTCAGGACAAAAGTGGAGTCACCACAGCAGTCTGGGGATGACACTGCATTTAATGACGTGGTGTTCTTTTGTTGTAAGAACTAACAACCTAAGTGCCAGGATCCATGTAGATTAATCTAGCATGACATCTGTTGGTTGGAAGGAGAGTTATGCATGTCTTAATTTAAACAAAATAAAAAATTAACAATAACATTTAATTTTAGAATTGGGTTTAAATGTAAAAATAACTTTAATTAACTTTTTACCTGTATGTATTACCTATGGATGGGATGCTGGCCTTGATTCACAGATTGATATGCAATCAACTGATAAATATCCTTTAGCCCATTGTGTGTATAATGCAGAGATAGGAAACATCTGTGGCCCTCCAGATGTTTTTGGACAGAAACACCCCCCCCCCAATGCTAGCTAGTTACATCCAGGTTGTGATACTTCAAGGGCCATCAGAGATGGGAAACATTGCTCTTTTTTCATTACAAGTCCCAGAATCTCATAGGCAGCACTGGCATGTTGGCTCTGGGATTCTGGCATCTGTAGCCACAAAACATGGTCACATGTTCCAGATCATTGCTCTAGAGGATGAGAAGGGAGGATTTCCCCCACCCCAGGGTCATGCTCCCTTATGGTTAATCTTGAAAGGCCCCATGTCAGCACTGGATGTGGCCAAAGCTGCACCTCACATCCATCCAAACACTCTACCCCTGGGAAAAAATGTAAAACAAAACACTCTACCTCTTCACACATACACAAAGAGAGCGAGAGAGAGCTAACACATTATATGGAACCAGGAGGTCCAAGACAGAATAAAAAATGCAAAAGACGGCAGCATTTGCCCATTTCAAATGGTATCACGTTCAGATTTTCCGAGTGATTTTAGATTTATGTTGGATGCAGCTGCTTTTTATTGATTTAACAACTGGGTCCATTGGTATTTGTGAGGGGTTTTCTTTGCAGGACAGTTAATGATTCTGACATGTTTTATGATTCCTGTTTTCCATCAATAATAAATCTAAGCTAAACATTTCACCACTCAGATTTTGATAGTAAACATGGAATTAATAGTGCCTTTACTTTTCTCTTCCAAAGCATACAAACATACTGCGTTATGTTTGGCAGTAAAAAACCCAAAGCTTTGTGTCAAGTCTGTCAGATCATGGCGACAGTTAGATCTGGCATAGGTATCTGTGGGTTGCATGCAGCTCCTCAGGACCTCTACGAAACTAGAATTTACCAAAGAGTCGAACTAGATAAGATGTTTAGATGAGTAACCCCAGTTGTGTAACCCCAGTTGCTCTATTGATGAAAGACATCTTTTTATCACAGCATGTAAAGAAAGGAAGGAAGATGGGTTAATGAGTGAATATTAAGACTTTCTTTTGATGTTCAGTTTGACATGCTGAAAATCTCCCAGATGGGATAGGGCGAGAAGCCGGTGATTCCCTTTCCTCACCATGCACTAGCATTTGATAGACAATTATATGTCTTTGCGAAAATAATTAGTGCTTCTAGTTATGAGGGAAGATAAAGGATTACCTTGTTGAGAGGGGCGGAGTCCAAAGCTTTTTCTACCTTTTTTGTGACTCCTATTTCATCAAGCCAGCTACCTCCACTGCAATTTCAACTTGCTTGCTGTGCCCGACCTCAAATGTCTGATCTACCAGTTTCTTAAATTCCTGGACTTTTTCTCATTTTAAAAGAATGATTTATTAAATGTTCCTTGACCACAAACATTCTGCCAGGTCTTTCTTTCTTTTTAAACCACTCCCCGTTTTCATTTTTTGTGTTTCTGTTAATTCAAATGCCTTCCCAAACTCTGGAAACAAATTTCTCATGGCCCATATGCCGACATTGTGGGTACTCTGGAGGTTGTAGAAGAAACTGTTCAGACTACAAAACCTACAACCACCCACCTTCAGCCAGGAATCCTGCTGATACTGCTGGTTGAAGGATTCTGAGATTTGTAGTCCAAAAAGCCAACTTTCCCAAGATGTGAGGCTGCTTTCTTTTACAGCTTCAGAATTTCAGCTTTGTGGTGATGATATTCCTGAGAAGGGGGAAAAAACTCCATGTTCCATCCCTATCCTCCTACCCCCCCAGCTTAACTTCTTAGCAGATCAATTTGATGGTCTTGAATGCAATTGGAACATATTACATTCCCACCTGTTACCGGAGGTGTACAAGGCAGCAGATCACTTAAAATGATCCTGAAATAAGATTGGTGTGGGCAGGAATGGAACAAACAATACTCATTTGTAGGATACCTGCATCCTGAGATATCAAGCAGGTACAAACTGTTTGGCCATTATTTACATGCCCTTGGCAATAACAATAAAGCCTTCCTTGAATGATTCAATTTCTAAAGCAGAACTTCATTAAAATTTGCTGATTGATAGCGAACCTGAAGAAAATTAAGTTACCATTGTCACGGAACAATTCAGACAATGGCTTCCTGGGGAAAAAAAACACAAGCCAGAATTTCTATATATGTGTGCAGGCTATATCAGACAATAAGCATGATAAACTATTAGGCTAATGTATTTGGAAAGTAAGAAAAATTCAAAAAGACAGGGGGAAACTGAACACAAGAAGAAACCTGAATGTTAATTATATGAAAGCTAAGGCACACACGCACGCACACATACACAATCTGCAAGCATATATGGCAGGCAGAAAACAGTCACTTAAGGTCAAAGACACATCCAGCCAACATGAGTAATTTGTATTTCTTGCCATTACAGTGTTCTCCCTCCAGACACACAATTCCTTAAAAGTGTCATATCTACACAATTGGTTTGGCAAATGACATCTGTGTTTATCTCCTGATGACCAATCACAAACCAAAAGCTAATCGTGGTCGCAGGACCAGATAGGCGGGATATAAATAGAATGAATGAATGAATGAATAAATAAATGAATAAATAAATAAATAAATACATACATACATACATACATACATAAATATAATCAATCTGCAACATGCAGAGTTAAGCTAGCTTGTGCTGAGATAAGCAGGCATCTTTTACCTTGGAACAGAGTGCCACTTCTAATAACACTTTAACTGCAGCTGGTGAGTTTGATGGGATCTAAGAAAAGGTCTTCTCAATCTTTAGCTCAGTTTTACTGAGAGAAAGTGTGTAGAAACTGTTGTGTTCCAGCAGGTGCTGGAAGGGTGGACAAGGCTCTGGCATAAGACATGACCAATTCTTAATGAGAGGAGATCCTTTTATTTTCAGAGTTAGCTGGTAAAACAACTCACTAAGGATGAAAGGAAACACTGAGTGCACCATCCGTGATGGCCAATAATATTTAGTGAGTTGTAATCTTTTTCTTTTGATATTAGGAAGCAGATGGTGTAGAAGTTCTGAAATGCTCGGGATGTGAAAGGTTCAGGAATAAAAGAGCAGAATGTTTTTGGAACTTCCCACTGCCCATTAGGCAGAATGACTTTTCAAACCTTCTATGCCTTTTAAAATATAACACAACAGTTGAGTATTTATAGCTGTGGGATCAGGGTTTGTCCTTTTCAGGACAGGATAATCACCCAATTCCCTGAAAAGGACAAAAGCTGATCCCACAACTATAAATACTCAACTATCCAACAAACTGCAACAGAGCACAGACAGAGTTCTGCTGTCCTCTGAAGATGCCGGCCACAGAGACTGGTGAAAAGTTAAGAAGAAAAACCTTAAGAACATGGCCAAACAGCCCGGAAATCCCACAACCAACAATCTTGTTGGTTTAGTTATGCCATCATAACCCATTATCAACATTGAAAGTTTCCTATCCCACTGTTTCAGGTTCTGAGATTCCCTAAAGATCCCCTTTGCTCATGGGAAGCCTTTAGGAGCCTCAAAGTGACTGGGTAGGGGGGAGAAGCTTTAATAGCTGACAATTGCTGCCAGATCACTTCTGATGGTCCCAGTGTTGGCTGATGGGTGATCGGTGACACAGTGGGTCAAAGAGAGGATGCCCCTGGATTTGGCGGGCCCTTACGTGTGCTACACCATTATAGATGTTTGATGCCTGTGTAACTTTGTGCTTTTAAATTATTTCTACCTTCTTTACCAGCATAATTTAGTATAGGATCATAACATTTCACAGTAAAAATTCCAGTCTGCAGGGGTTTTGTTGTTGCTGTTGTTGTACAGATCAATTACTGTACATGTCTTTCCCAAGCAGAAATAGCTCATCTTCCCCCTCTGAATTTTTTCTTTTACTATAAATATTGAACGAGTAATTTTTGGCATACATGAGACCATTGCAAAGACCTTCAACAGTCTGGGGCACTTGTGATTCTCCTCTGAGGCTATTTTGTTCTGTGCTTTATGCCTTTGAATCATGCAGTAACATCTTGTACTTCTTTATAATTGCTTTGCAATGTCTCCTAGGTTGATTAATATCACTGCTTGAGTTTTAGGAATAAGAAGGGTTCATGCTGAAATAGATGATAGACTAATGTCTTCTCCAGGTATAATATAATGCACTTACTAGGTAATTCCTTGCAGATTTATCTCTATATAGACAAGCAGATATGCATACATATCATGGGAATATCCAGCATTCATTCATAGGCATCCTTCAGTCAACTTCCCTGATAATAAATTATCTGCAGTACTTTGCAGTGTCCATCTCTGTGTCTTTTTTCTTGAGTATTTTGTTCACTTTTTATCTTTAGACTTTTGAGGAACTATCTTATCTCTATAAGCACTTCTTTGTACTTTCTTCTCCTCTATGTAAATGTTAGTGTGATTAGTCATATTCAGGATATGATGACACAGAGGTTTGTCCCAGGCTGATTAGAACTTTTATATGTCATACCTCTTAAATTATATCACTGTTGTGTTTCACACCGAAATGTTTAATTGTACTCACCTGTCCACACAGATCCCCTTCTCCCTCAAACCCTTACAGTGGTGCCTTGCATTACGACGTTAATTTGTTCCAGAGAAATCGCTGTAGAATGAAAACATCGTAATGCAAAATAAAAAAGCCCATAGAAATGCATTAAAACCCGATTAATGCATTCCTATGGGCTTGAAACTCACCGTCCAGCGAAGATCCTCCATAGCGTGGCCATTTTCGCTGCCTGTGC